ACAAGCTCCTCTCTCCGTCCCTCCTCCTCCTCCTCCTCCTCCTCCTCCTCCTCCTCCTCCTCCTCCTCCTCCTCCTCCTCCTCCTCCTCGTTCCCGTCCTCGTCACTCTCACTGCTAGATATTGGGAACTTCCTCCATGCCCTGCCTTGCTCCCGGCTCCGACTGCTCGACACGATCTGGACGTCGTCCTCTTCATCGGACGACAAATGTATCACAGTGCGCCTCGACGACGATCCCTGTCCTTCATCTCCACTGTCCCGCTTCCTCCTCTTTCTCCTATCGGATCTGCTCTCTTTCTCTGAGGACGAATCTTCTTCATCGCGGCTGACTCGTCGTCGCCTCCTCCTCCTATCAGAGCCATCACCCTCCTCCGAGTCCGACAGGCTCTGATGCCTGGAGTGCCTCGAGGATGATCCTTGCTCCGCACGTCGGCTGCTCCGTCGTCTCCTCGACCTCGTTTCGGGCTCCTCTCTGCTTGCGTCATACGACACTTCCATGCTCCTCGGCTGCGCCCGACTCCTCCTGCGAGAGGATCCGTGGCGATCGTCGTCGTCTTGGGACAAGGGATAGTCCACAACCTGTTCGGCGTCGTCTATGAAGTCATGCAGAGAGTCTTCCGAGTCCAGCTCGTCTGCGTCTTCTTCCTCCTCCTCTTCCTCCTCTATATCATCCTCGTCGTCAATGACCACCTGCCTCCCTCTCATGTCGTGAGTTGAGCTCCACCTCCTCCTGCATGCAGGATTGGTGCATGTGAAATCCTCGTCGATCTCCCACATGCAGACTCTACATCTGTACACATCATCGCCGTCATCAAACAGAGGCTCTTGCTGCATCTTGAAACAACTCCACAGATCGTCTTCCTGCCTCATGATTCTGTCAGCGCGCTGCGCTGCCTCGTTGAGTTTGTTCATCAGCTCGGCCTGCTCTGACTGAGGTTTCGACCCTATCAACGTCTTGACACACTTCTCGATCATGAGGTTCGGGGCTGATGGGGCCGTCGTGATGTTCTTCCTGCAGTTGGGGCAGGAAGGCACCAGGTGCTGCTGCTGCACCGTTGATATGTTCGTCCGGATGCATAGAAAGCAGAACGTGTGCCCACACTCGGTCAGGGTGACGGGGCGGGCGACCAGGTCGAGACAGATAGGACATGTCAGATCGTTCTCGAAGGCCTTCATGGCGTCCCTCATGATGCTCTTGTCTGCCTGGGTCGTGGAGGTCAGAACCTCTCCCCCCTTTGAGCCCTTAGCCTTCTTTCGTGTGGGCTTGCAATCCAGGCATGTAAGTACCCCGCCCTCCTCGAGACACAGGGTGGTTTGCTTGCAGGACGAGCACTTGGCGACGTTCATCTCTCTCCTTCTCCTGCCTCTCCTCTCCTCTCCGCTTCCTCTAGCCCCTGATTCTCCACTCCGCCATCCGGATGTTTCCCGCGTGAACCGTTTCCATCCGTTACGTCCTGCTCGAGCCGCCGCCGGCGCACCGTGCCACTGCAACTTGATCGGAAGTTGCCAAGTCACCGGCCCGGAGTCCAAGTTCCTGAACTTCGGAACGTTGCTCCCCGGCCGGGACTCGCCGCCGGACCCGGGAGCCTCGGAGGCGGAGGCTTCGATCAGGCCCCCTGGACCGTACCGTACCGGCATCGAGTCACGGCGCCGCCCGGCCGCCGGGGCCGGTCGGAGTCCGACCGTCGTGGGCCTGAGTGCCGCAGTGCGCCGCCCCGGCCCCGCGGCCCGGCCGCGGGCCACGAAGCCTGGCTGCAAGGGCCGAGACCAGCCTTGAAGGCCGGGCATTGCACTGGCCGCGTTAGGGCGGCCAAACTTTTCAAGTTTCGCCCCCCGGGGGCCCCCCGGCCCGCCGCCTCGGATCATATGATCATTGATGACCGGGGCGGGAGCCGGAGTCCGCGCCTCCGAGAGCCCCGGCCGGCGGCGGGCCGCGCCGCTGGCGGCGGCGGCCCGGCCCGGGCCCGGCGCTCACTGCCGGCCCCGCCGGGCCGGCGGTCAGTGTCGCCGGAGCCGGGAGTCATGGCCAGCGGCGCTTCGCCGGGCGGCCGCCTTGTCGGAACTCAGTGATTCCAAACTGGCTCCGGGGGGCTGTGTGGCCGGGCCCGCCGTCGGGCCGCGCCTCAGCCTCCGCTCGGACCGCAGTGTATGATGATCCGGCGAACAGTCACGGTGGCGGCACTCTGACCGCGCGGCGGGGATCGGACCGTCGGCGGCGGTCACTGGCAGCCTGTCTCTGAGAGCCTCTGGCACCTCGGCCGAGTCCCCAACTGCCAACCGTGAACTTTACTCGCGGCCTTGAAGTCAAAGCACGGTAAGTCAAAAATCCGATGATCAGTCACTGGGGGACAGCAGTCGGCAGGATTGGGTCAAGTTTGGTTCTCGCTGTCTTTTCTCTCAGAGTCTCGCCGTTTGGCCTGTGCGACAGTGTCAGGGTCACTGGCCAGCGACATCGCTGTGGCCACCGCCGATCATTCGATCGATCGAGGCTGCCGCTGTGCACCGGACAGCACTGACACGGGCCCGTGCTTCAAGTTCAGTTTTAACTAATATTTGAGTACTAATACCTCACCGCACTGTGAGCCCGCGGCCCGACGGTGCAGCCGGGCCCGGCGATAGTAGTTACGGCCCTACGGTTGTGTTTGACCTTTCGCTTAGGTCCTAGGATCCTATACCATTGGCCTGTACCATTTGCTATGACTTCCTACCAAGTTTTTCCCCAAGTTCCTGATGGCTCAGGCCCGGGTCCGCAGATAGGTGGTATCCAATTAGATTCGGAAGGACTTGTGTACCATGTTTGGGATTTGGCATTGAGAGAGATTTAAAAGATGTCTGAGGTAGCCATATAAGGGTAAAAAGTTGGGGAATAATAGAAAGATTCTTTTTGGGGTGGGGTAATCTATCGTCAACAGGACCCTGTGCAGATTCCTCGAATGAACTACCCCACAAAACATGAGAAAATGGTACTTCACCACCTCGGCGGGGGGTACCACTACCCCCCAGCTCTGTTTATTACCATTTACCCCTCATCTGGAAGGGGTGATGAGAGAAGGTCATAATCACTACCGGTACTTTCATATTCAAAGAGCGGATGCATAGGGTAGGGTGGATGTCATTGATTGGAAAAGGCAAAGTCAAACCTACCCTACCCCCTCCATTAAGCAGTAACTTCCTTCACACCTTAACTCCACCCCCACGTAGAGCTTCCTTCACCCCCACCTCCAGAGAGGAATGAAACTCTATATCCTCACAAGGCTCAACAGACAGGGGTAGGAAGCTGCAGGGGCGCTGCAATTAAGAGGGGCAAAAACCAGGGGTTGGGGGTGTGACAAGCTCCGAGGGTTGCATCTGCGGCTAGTCAAAGTCGGGTGGGTTGGTCGAGTGATTATAGATCAAGGGGGTGGTGGTGGTAGAGAGAGCCCGGTTCCCTTCTCCTTCTCTCTCTGGGGCCCATAAGTGCGTCCATATTGAGAGGAGTACCGGTTACTGAAACAGGAATCCCCGGGCAAATCACCGGGTGAATGAGAACTCCAGTCTTCATGGGTGCGAAGGCAGGTGAGAACTGGGGGTACAAAAGACTAATCTAAAAAGTTGGGGTAGGGTGGATTGATATCATCGAAATGAGGGGGTAGGGGGTACTTAGGAGTGCCTGACGCTATATCGGCTCCTCGAGAAGGTTCTAAGAAGGGTCATCGGCAAGGGGGTGGGGGGCGAAAGGGTAGGGTCCAGGGACCAGGGTTATATACGCAGAAATAATCAGTACCATAAGTAATTTCCAGAAGCAAAAACTCCTTAATATTTTGAAACAAAGTACAAAATTCTGGTACAACAAATGAAACACTTGATCAATCAAAATGTACTGATGTTCATAAAGATTTGTACCATGTCTTGAACACAGTACAAAGCGTGAGCTTAGGGACCCACCCCGTCATGCTGGGCAGGAAGTTTTGAATCTTAAAAAGTCTTAAAATTATCTGGTACCAATTTGCAGGTGGTATTGGTATTGTGATTTTGGAGGATAGTCCCCTATTCCCCTACATCAGCTTCTATCTCTATACAAAATGTTTTTCATATAACACCTGGATTTAGTTTTGCTACTGTGTTCCATTTAAAACATCTATTAAGATGAAACACAGTAGCTAGTTTAATTTATATATAAAATAAGAGTACCTTGATCAGCTCCCTTGGTACACAAGACAGCAAGTAACCCCTCAACTCTCAGGCGCAATAGAGGACCCTGATTTTACCGCGGGGGGTGAAGAGTGCGGTGTAAGCCGGGGGGGTTGAGTGTCCATATTGGCTTCTATTCTTTTTTGCGATCCAGATGGAAAATCGAGAGAAGCAATGGGGGTCCGTGGGGGTGGAAAAAAATCTGACAAGGCAAGGCCTAGACGACAACCTGGAGGAAGCTTTGTTGGCGTACTGGAGAGCGAGACCTGAGTTATTGGTTCGGATTTCTGTACAATTATATGTGAGTTCTACTCTTTTGTGAGGAAAAAACTATATTAACTTAATGTCATGGTAGAAAAATTTGAAATTTTTGTATAATCATTTCTACCACTTATCACAAAATAATATATATTCAAATAAAAACCTTTATATATTATATATACTATAGAAAGACGCCTGAATCATACAAAATAATAATAACAAATAGATATAAATATTGAATCTTGTACAATCTCAGTATTTTTAAGCTGGCCAATCTCAAATGCGTCATTTTTCGTCAAGGGTTCTGGGTGACCCCGCCCAGCAGTTCCGTCCCTTCCACCCCCTTTCCATAGGACCACCCCCACCCCCTTGACTTGATTCTTTTTTTCTTCAATATACCCCCACCCCTCCTGCGTCCTCCTTCCCCCCTCCCGCCCTCCCCGCCTCCTTCTTATAAACTCAGGCAACACCCGCGTTCTCCCACCACAAGCGAACAAGTAAGATTCTCCACGTTCGACTGCATCCGAATGTTCTCCTCTTGATTCCGTGTGCCCCGCTTGTTCTCCTTGCTGACTCCTGCGTCCTCTTGCTCTCAATCTCTTTTTCGAAAAGCTTTTCGTGGATGCCATGCATGCGCCCCATGGCGAGAGCTCGTATCTGACGAGGATGCTGCAGTGCCCAAGACCAGCAAGAAGTCCGAGAAGACCAAGAAGGGAGCTTCCCCCTACAACATGTTCATGAAGGAGGAGCTCGCCAGAGTCAAGAAGGAGAACCCTGACCTCGACCACAAGAAGGCATTCAAGATGGCGGCTGAGAACTGGAGCAAGCAGAAGGCCAAGAAGTAAACTGTGCTGACTACAAGACTATTGTATACTTCTCCTGTCATCCATCCTCGAGAATGTCCTCAATGAAGCTAGCCGCTGTATCATAGTTGCTAGGAATGTACAGTGATTTTAAAATGAATTTCTCCAAAAGAATTCTTCAGAGTTCAGTTCGTAAGTGACCTTCGAACGTGTTCGCAAGTGACCCGTTCGCAAATCACATGGAGATGTGTTTTTGGAAGGGTTCACAAATGTGCTCTTTCTCAAATTTATCCTGTGGCAAGCTTTTACTGTGAGCAGAATTTATCACGCTCGTATCTGGGAAGATCCTTTCACACTTATGCGCGAAAATTCACAGGTTACTGATGCCTGGACAAGCGTGAGAAACACGACGTTTCACGGGCTATCTCACCTCTGTACAGGTTGCAGAGCTTCTGCATGTCCTGCACGGATCTCTGCACGTAGAGGGTCACGGGGGTCGCGGTGAGGGAGGTGAAAGAAACCTGAATCTCACGCGAGAGCAGAGAGGAGCGATCCGCTGCTTGCTTCTGGCAGGTGATGAAGAAGACCGACTCTGCTCTGTTGATGCTGTAGCCCACTCCGAATCCATGAGGAACGACCTGCCCGAAGCCCCACGACTGGAGGTGCTCGCTGAAGAGGTGGCTCGTGCTGAGCTCCCACGAGCTGCTGGTGGCGAAGGAAGGGTCTGAGAACAGCTCCGGCATAGCCTCTCCCTCATGCAGGCTGAGCCGGAGCCCCAGCAGGTGCCTGTCTACCCCTCGCGCGTTAGAGCACTCATTACTGGTCTGCTGGTGCTTCCTGACTGCTGCCTGGAGGTAGTTGTACTGCGTCCTGTGGTCGAGCCCGGACGCCATGGCCTCGACGAACCGCTTGCCCTCCAGCGAGCAGGAGCGGATCGTCTCTGTCCTCCCATGGAGGAACCGGCGGGTGGAGCATGCCTCGTAGGTGGCCGTGACTCGCCCGTGCATGCGGAAGAAGGCGAGCTGGATGGCGAGCTGGACGAAGGCGTCGGGCGGCATCTTGAGCGCCTTAATCCCGTCCCTACCCATCCCCGAGAGGACGAGATGAGAAGCCTCGTGGCTCTCCACAAGCTTCACAAACTGAGCTCGGATCTGAGCATGGGCCTCGACGACGCTCCTTGAAAGGTTGAACCCAAGTCGGGACAGCTCCAGTTTGCTGCCCCGGCCCTTGCTCTCTCCAGCGCTCACCTCCCTCGCCATGTTTGCCCCCACGAACTCACAAAGTCGGAGCGTCGGGGCCCCGTCGCTGATCGCGTGCTCACCAAGGAAGCCAACCTGACCACAGGGGAGCACGACGAACTGCAGGGTCTTGTCGTACCAACGGTTCTTGCCGTCTCCGTGCCACATCTGACGAGACCGGGAGACGACGCCCGCCTCCTCTAGATGGTCCAGGCACACCAGAAACATGCTGCTCTCTATCGCCTCCAGGCTCGCTCGGTTGCTCTTGTCCTCCATCAGGCTCGTGCGGCACTTGGCCCAGACGTCTCGTTCTCCTGACGTGAGGGAGCCCACCGGGACCTCAGCCTCTCCCGCAGCATCTGCTTCCTCAACGATCCTGCCAAGCGCTTCGAGAATATCTCCTAGTCCCTGCAAAGACCCCAACTCGAGCTTGAACAAGTGTCCTTGCCGAGCAACGACGATGTGAGTGTTGTGCTCGGGCTGGTAGGAGGCAACGACGTCACAGTGGGATCCGGGGATCCTGCAGGTATGGAAGAGGAAGGAGTAGACAGCCATGCACTGAGGAGCATTGCGAATCATGTCAGGCTGCAAGCTTCCACTCACGACCTGATCTCTGAATCTGCAGACGGTGCGCACGAGGGCCGAGGCAGACAACAACTGGCCGCTCCATGGCTTCAGCACGGGCCTGTCGAGCATGGAGGACAGGGACTGCGGAAGGGGCAGCGGCGCATGCTTGAGCAAATAGAAGTATGAGACAAAGAAGACGACAGGCTCTCGATCCGTCAGGTAGGCGCGGTCGTTCCACCAGTCGATGAGCCAGCTGGATCCTTTCTTCTCAGCAGCGCGGCGCAGGAGCCGCTCCTGCAGCTTCTTCCCGTCCCCGTTGACAAGGAAGTACGCCGCCTTCTTGGCTGTGGCCTCAAACTGCTCGTCGCTCACCAGCGGCCTTACGGAGACAAGGTACTTGGCGACGGTAGACTCGAGCTCGGGGATGGGGAGCTGCGGCACGCTCCCCTGGTGCCTCCACATTTCCTGCACAGCAGGCGGCACCTTCCATTCATTCTTCATCCTCTCAGTGCGTGCGGGTGACCAGAGCGTCCTCACGATCACTCTGCTGGTGCTGCTGCGTTGCTCGCACTCTGCTGAATCTCTGCGTTGAGCTTGGCGGCAAACGCCTCGTCCACCTCCTCCTTGTCCCACTCGGTGTCCCACAGAGACGTGTCCTCCTGCCTGTTCACTGGCCAATCATCCTCCATAAACTCCTCGAACTCGTCTTCCTCGACTTCCACTGCCTGCGATCCGTTGTTTGACATAGGCCGTGAAAGGCCGCACCACGCGTCGCCTAATATGTCTTAGCGTCAGTCAGGAGCAGGACAACAACAGATGGCTTTCATGTCATGGTGATTCATTTCACAGATTTATATCATCGGACTTGAATTTTGAAATATCAGCACATTCCAATGCAATGGTGTGTGATTTCTATACTTCTGCATGCTCTTTCACTTGCCACTCCGCTCTTCATTCCCTTCCTCGCGCTCCCAAGCATCAAGTACTCATCATACATTCATCATTCTCCCCACTCATGTACATCAGTATCAATCCGCTTCTTCCTCCTCCTCTCCTCCTCCCTGCCTCTCCCTCCCCTCCTCACATCTTGACTGCCTGCACAGCCATAGGAATCATGCGCGGAACAGCGACAATCCACCCTACCCCTCACTTCGTAGGCATAAGACTACCCTCTAATTGACCTACTACCCTCAGATTGAAGACATCATGGTTGGATGACCCGTACCATTTACTTCTAAGTACCCCTGTATTATTGTACCCACCCCATTAATAGATTCTTTCCTCCCATCCCACCCGTCCAAAATTTCACCGTCTCTTTGATAGGAACAGGAGCAGGAGCAGGAGCAGGAGCAGGAGCAGGAGCAGGAGCAGGAGCAGGAGCAGGAGCAGGAGCAGGAGCAGCAGTAGGAGCAGGAGCAGGAGTAGGAGCAGGAGCAGGAGCAGGAGCAGGAGCAGGAGCAGCGGTGGCAGATACGCCCACCGCGGGAGCAAGAGCAGGAGCAAGAGCAGCGACTAAATGAATCATCAAGTAAAGGCGCGCCCACCATCTTCCCGACCATCACCTCCTGCCTCCTCGTAGCATGCATGCAGCCCTTGTCAGCCTGCCCTACAGGTCTCTTCACGCCCCACGTGTCTTGTTTTGTCCCCACAATGCTTCTCACAGTGTATCGATTCATGAGGTATTGTTGCATTCTTGTATCACTCACAATTATAGATTATCAGCACGTAATATCAGACGGTCACACGAAATTCAATTACATTCGATCGAGCAAGCAGCCATTGGCTGATCGCGATCACACTGCAACGACAGCTGTCCTCCAGCCCTCACATGCCCACAAACGACAAGTTCTCATCAGGACGCGACGAGTTCAGCTGTCAGCAGAGGGTTTGAGGAGGGATCTTGTCCATCTGCTCGGCTGACTGTGAGAAAGGAGGGAGGAGAGGGGCGTCAAGATGCGCTCGGCTCAAAGAGCTCACCGAAGAGATGAGCGCAGAGGCTGACTTGGGGGTGAGCGCGATGCTCTAAGAACGAGTTAGAGGGGGAGGGAGGAGGAAGGGGAAGGTAGGATGCCCTGGAGAGCTCAGTCAACCTGATTGATCGACAACTTGGGAGTCGATGGGGTCGAGGGGATGACGGAGGAGGAGGAGGAGGAGCTTTCATCCTGCCGTGAACACTGCTCAGACCCTCCACGGCATCAAGGCAGAGGCGAGAGAAGGAGGGGGGATACTGGAGTGAGGAGGAGGAAGCAACAGGATGGCCAAGGGGAAGGGGAAGAGGAAGGGGAAGGGAAGAGTGGGGAGGAGGATCTCACCCCGTCCTGTGATACATAACTTGATTCCCTCGCTGACAAATTGGCCTTGACGTCTTGACAAGGCAAGATCAGATTCGGCAGTGACAGGAACAAGAGGAGGCATCGCATCTACCTGAGTTGAAAGCCTTCTTGTTTGACCTCGGCCCATCCTTTTGGGGAGGAGTCAGGGGACGGGGAGGAACATGTAGAGACGCACCTCGAAGTAGATGGAGATGGGAGATGTCAATGAAACCTCGTCAGAGCGCCTTTTTGACGGGCCTGACAGCCAGACAAGAAAACCATTCTTTAGCATTGCGAAAAAAAAATCACAACCACCAAGGATCAACCTTTGGGGAGATTTCCATCTCCATGAATTTCGTTTTGTTCCCAGCAGAAACCACCGTTTGCAAGTTGTCCCAAAGCTCTACGAATGTCGTCGTCGACGATGTTCTGCAGAGTCGATCACAGTGACACCCAGCAAGAGCAGAGATGGCAGCAAAGCACAATCAAACACTGATCAAAGAAGCTATCAGGACACTGCGTTTTTCACTTCACCTCAATCTTGGAATTCAATTCTGTAGGATTCGGCAAGATATCCATAGAAACATCGCGCTCATCGGCCAGTCGAAAGCCTAACAGTCGTTGATGTCAACAAGAAGGTTGAATCCTGCCAGACAAACACCGTCGCCTCCTTCTGGTCGAAAGGAGAAGTATATCCATACCCTCTGAAGGGCCTGTAGTTCATGTCAGCCCGTTGCGGACTCAATGGCTCCACTTACCGCAGGACTCGGCGCAGCATTGGGATCGTCACAGGAGCTCTTGAACTTGGAAGCAATCACGCTCCAGTCCCATGCCGGGCCCTGGTAACCTCGTCATCTCCCGGGGACCTGAAAGTGCGGGGCTGCGCAATACATGTCCAGACTTGAAGTACTGCAGGACGCCCAGCAGGAATGCGTGGAGACCTTTCTTGTACATCTGAGAAAGAGCATGATGTATCAGAGAAGCGGAGAGGGAGGGTTGTGTGCTGGCGTCAGGAAGCGGCAAGCGATCGTGGAGTGTTGCATCAAAGGTACAGAATCGAGCCATCAAGTCAAGAAAGCGCATCATAGTCGTGTCAGAGCAGAGAAGGCCATCCCGACCAGGTCTCTCATCAGCGATTTGAATGGCCGGGGAGCAGGAGAGCTTCTCTCACCTTCTGCACATCAGCATTCGCCTGCCCCCTTTCCCGACGGCGCGCCTGAGGCCCCTCGGCCTCGACATCCGACGCCAACCCACTCATACCAGAGCAAGAGGAGGAGGAGGAGGGTGGACAGTCTCTAGGTAAATCAGCTCTCCTTCTGCCTGCGGGTTACCTGCTCTCCCTCCTCTCCTCCTCGCTCCTCCCTTGTCTTGCTCCAGCGTCCACCGCCATGTTGCCTAAAGGATTCGTAGAGACGGATATAAAGGCGGATACTTACGGATATTCACGGATACCTTTGTGGATACACTTTCGGATACCCGCGGCCCCCTCCTACAGAGGACTGGAGGTTTGGGCGAGGAGGGAGGAGGAGGAGGCGAGAGGCGATGGAGAGGCAAGGAGTAGAGCAGGAGGGTCGAGAAGCCGTCGCCTGCTCTTGTGAACCAGACTGTGAGGCACAGGGTGCGATAGAGAGCAGTTGTAAGGCAAGGATGCGACTGGATCCAAGGATCCGCGCTGGCTCCTGATTCGTAGCTCAATGACGGGAGTGACTTGTAGCATCGATGCCTTGCAGTGGAGACCGTAATGACCATGAGAATGAAATTAGGACCCATCTGGTGCTCATTAATCTGAATCAGAATTTGCAGATGTTGATGAAGATTGCCATCACAACCTGCCTTGTTGCGGTTGCAACCTGCTTCAACCCATCTGCAACAGTACCAAAGAGGGTGACTAGATCATGCACTATGCAGATGGATGGCGCGATTTCTCGCAGATCTGCCCTCCTCCTCGCAGGGCTCTCACTGATCTCGGTGAGCAACGTCTCTCCCTGTGTGCTGCCGCTTTGCTCAATACACATGTTGCAGAGACCGGTTCTTGCCGACGACTCCTTCTCGTTCGATGGCTCTTACTCGGATCCGAAGCATCCCGGATGTGCTCGCAACGTCATGTCCAAGAACGACAACGAGGCGGAGGTGCCGTGTTGGGCTCAGGTCCCCCCGCCTTCTGATGCTGTAACCCCTCCAGATCTCGGGAGTCGACGGGAACCCTGGCTGCTCCGCCGGCAATGCCGATGTGCAGAAGCCATGGAGACTGAACGGTAGCTTCCTCTGACGTCGCTGCTGCACCTGATGCTCGTTCAGGGAAGGTGGACGGGAAGAAAATCTTTGTTGACTTCTCGCCAAAGGGCGGCCCTAAAGATCTCCTTGGAAACTGGGAGGATGACGGCATTCGCTGGCCTGACAACAACAAGTGGACCAAGATCACACAGAAAACTTATCCTCAGGATTTGTAATGTGACTGTCCCTGAGTGATGCTCTAGGTTAACAGTAGAGGTTCAAGGAGGTAGAAGAGAGTATGTCGTCTGATTTAAGGAATGAAAGGTATTCTCGTGGGCACACGATCACGATATGCCGGGTAGTCTTGGAAAAATCGACAGCTGCGTAGCACATCAGAGCAGAAAGAAGGAAAAGAAGAGTGAGTTACAGATGATATTCCTCGTAGGGGATGCGATCCCTTCCATCAAGAGGTCAGCGGGGGCAACAACGTATCCACGTCCTCACTGAAAGAATTTCCAGGAGGCGATAGAGTACAGGATGGTGGAGATCGGGTTGCACAGGAGCACCTGCGCATCGTCTTTGCCATCAATCATAGAAAGCTTCTCATGGGGTCAAGACCTGAGTCGAGATCGACCAGTAGAACCACCCGAAGTATCCCGGATGTCTGGATATCTGCAGATTCGACTCAGATATGGTGAGCGGCACAGGGTTGCTGCCGTGTCGGCAGGTTCTCAGCATGCTCGTACCGAGTACAGGCCAGTAGTCACAAGAGTGTGCGAGCTCCTCTTCTCTCCGTCGGATATCTTCAAGAGGAGTCCATCAGTCAAAGACCGCTAGCGCCATCGGCTCCACGTGTACCTTGTGCGTGAAGTTGCTCCCCGCCTGAATCAGCGCTCCCTTGCGGAAGAATTCACCGAAGAGAACTCCAGCGAGTCCAATAAACCTGCACGCCCTCCATCCCTGAAGCACGAGGTAGCAGCGTTAGGGAGAGCTGGGACGTCCGTACACCTTGGGCAAGATCAACACCACTCACCTTGCTGGCAGGGAAGAAAGTGTGGCCAATGAAGTATTCTGACATACCGAACAACATAGCTCCCATGTAGCTTCCCTGATTCGCCAGAAATGAATCGATGGAAACGGTCGACGGGTTGTATGTGCAAGCAAGCACGAATTCGGAGAGGTGATAGAAAGTGATCGTGCCGAAGAACAGCCCCAGGGCAAGATGCCCATCATCTTTCATGCAGAAGAATGTCTTGTGGTTGTCGTAGATGATTGCTGTTGCTGAGGACGCCAGCAACCCTAGGGCGAAGGAAGTATTGCAGATGAGGCTGATGGATCGTTTGGTGGCACCCGATCTCTTCAACGCCACATGTCCAAGGTAGCCTGAGGAGAGACCCACCAGAGCAGGAGAGAGATGAGGTAAGAAGGACCCGTGTAGGCTCGTCCTCGATATCAACACAATCATCCTCCATCCCATTATCCCTCCGCCACATACCGACGCCATCGTCCATCCCATCTCCCCTCCCATCATGTCTGTCTTGAAAAAGATTCGATCCGGGCCCGGGGTGGGAATATGATCCGGCCGGGCCCCGGGCCCCCGGTCGGTAGTGGGCCCGATTCACTGGGTGATCAGAGTCCCGGCTTTGACTGTTTACCACACAACCAACGTGTCACTGAGCCGCAGGGGTTTGTCAGTTAATCATGGTCGGAGTAACGTGACTTTCAGGTCCCTTCAGCCAGGACCCTAACTTTTGACATCTTTCAGACCCCTAGGTTGTGGCCTGCCAACCTCCGCGCCCTCTGCGTGATCTAATGAGACGCAGGGATTCTTCAGTGAGATGCGAAAACGACTTGTTTCGGATCATGTTCCGAGAAATCAACTGAAACTGCCCAAAACGGCTACATAACGGTCATAACGACCCTGTGAAAAAAAGAACCTTTGCCTTCTTGGGTGGGGGCAGAGGTGCTCTTCAAAACCATTCCCCGTGAACTTGAATTTCTGAAGAAGTCGAGATTTTAAAATTTGAAAATTTACCCAACAGCTTCAAAGTTATAACATAGATCTGAAGATTTGAGTTATAAGGCGCCCGACGGTTCCGGTGGTTTAAGAGGTACGAGGTCGGCCTGAAAAGGGTCCGAGCGCAGGCGACGAGAAGCAGCAGAAGACGAGGAGGAGAGGAGACGGTCAGTTGCAACCTATATGAAAACAAGAAGATACTAGAAGCTTGTTTGAACAGGGGAGTTGTCTGCAAGCCGTTGATTCAGTGTTCAAGGTCTTGTAACATCGGAGTATCAAGGAAGAATGCTTTGCTCAAGCAGTGAGGCCGAGATGCGAATCCATCCCATTCCTTCACAGGACGATTTCGATGAGCTCTGCTGCGATGAAGATGACATGGCGGATGTTCCTGAGCTGAGCTTCCTGAAACTTAACAGCGCTCAGAGGGGAAAAGTGCACACGTTGTCAGACAAGAACAAGAAGATGTTGTTTTGTTTGGCGAAGTCGATAGAGTACATCAAGATGAATGGCGGAAGAACTCCTTCTGTCTACGACCCAGAACCTCTAGAAAGCAAGATGGGATCCCTCTCATTAGCTACAATCAACCATGAAGCAGCTAGCATTGAGCTCTGTTGAAAGTTTTGCTACCCTAGAATGTTGACTAAAGCAGTGTACTTTCTGAAAGGTTACAAATAAACTTCATTAGCTTGCATTCCCTGGAAGAAATCTTGGTTTGGTTGTATTACTATACACAGGAGGAAACGAAAGCAACAACCATAACAAGGACAAGGTATTAACCTTGCAAATATGATACAACAATCTGGACGAAGCAACGTACGACTGGTTCTACCTCTCTCCAATCAAGGATTTGATTTCAGTCTCCACAGAGTCAACCACCAGGACAGGAAGGGACCTGCTTCTTCGAACCAGGGCGATTGCTTCAAAGACATAATCCCTGTCAGAGGCTTCTTTGATCCAAGCCAGGAGCACCTGGATGTCACGACTTGTCATCGAGATGAAGTGTTGCAGAGTGAGCAAACTGACCTGCAGTAATGTCTTCAGATCCAGTAGGTCCATCCAGTTTCCCTTCATGTTCGATGTGTCGACACGGACAGGAATGGATTCGAAGAAACCCTCCACCACGCACGCAATCAGCTTCTGATTCATCGAGTCAGTCTGACTTGGCTGGCTGGCAGTAAAGCTGAGCAAAGGTATCACTTCTGCATGTAAGAACATGCATATCTCCTGGTATTCACTTCTCTGTGCAAACAGACCCTTCAGCCCAATGCGACAGTGCTGCTCCCATCTCGCACAAGCCCTCTCCCAATCGCGCAAGACAGGATCTCTGACTGCGGGGGTTGGTCTGGTGTGCGAGGAGGAGGAGGTATCCTCAGCCAAGTAAGAAGAGAAGGTAGAGGTTGTCATGTTGCCCACGTCCTCATGCAAGTCCATCCTCTGCCTTGCCGCCAGAAGTCTTGTCGCCATGAGCTTTTTCTGTAGAACTTGCGCCTGTAACGCCTCTATCAGGTCGCACAGAGTGTCAGCAGAGAGCAAGGAGGGCGGACCTGTAGTTGTGCTCTACTCGCCCTGCTTTCTGCTTCTTCAACCCTCTGCTGGAGGTCTTGGAGGTTCCCCTCTCCCAGCTCCCCTTCGCTCATACCAGGATGAGCAGATCGTGGTTGTAAGAGCTCATTGCTCCCCACAGTCTCTCTCGATCGGGTACGGCAGGCGAATATCATGAGTCCCAGCCGATTCATCGCCCTCTCCAGACCCTGCAGAGTTTCCTGCATCGTCACGATGACCGACTCTTGCCGGTTGACAAAACCTTCAATGTTTGAGTTCCTCGGGTCAATCATCGAGTTGGATCTGGTACTAGACTCTTTGGTACATGAGAGTCGAGCGTTTCCTTCGACCCCTCGATCCAGCAGCTCCCTGCATGCACCTGTATCGCTCATCCGATAGCTATCGACTTGTTGGTCGAGGTCGAACGCCTTCTGATAGCTCTTCTCGATGAACGTCTCCAAGACGATGCAAATGCTTTGCACACTTTCTTCCACCTTCCACATGACATCCATCAAATTCAGCTTCTCAACGTCATTCTGAGCGGGTAAATCGTTACCGTCCGAGGTCTGCAATCGTTTCGATACATCAAGCATCATGACGCCTTTATCGAAACCAGCTGTTCTATGACTGTCATATTGCCGACAGACATATTTAACGCTGTTCAACTTGAAATCCAGGCTCGAACCGACCTGAGTCAAAACAATCTCGATGAGACTGACGGTGCTCAAGATATTCTCAAACATTCGGTTTTCTATCCTCCCTTCTCTTTTCACTCTTTGCTCCACTGAAATACCAATGAGGGACAACAATGTTTCAAGATCCTGCATCCTTGCTAACATACAAGCGCATGCTTCTTCAACACATCCTCCCCCCTCCTGATCGATCGTACTCGCTTCCTCACGCTTCCTCTTGCTCTCATGCAAACTGCGCACCTCGCATGACAACGTGTAGATCTCCTGGCGCAAGAGGATGTTCTCCCTCACAGTGACCTCTGCGATTTGCCTCGTCTCCTCTCTCCCCATCCCGGCCATCTCTTGTGCTCTTACACCATCAGCAAACTCCTGCAAATGCTCCATGGCCCGAGACATGTCAGAGATCTGATGTCGGAACTTGATATTCTCCAGAACTGTCTCCTCTGCTATCCTCCGCAAGTCATCCGCGCTCAGCTTCTCCCCTCCTCTCCTCTCGTGCTCAGCAGAGCAGTTCATCGCCCCTTCCAGCGCCTCCTGCATCCTGTCGAGCTGCTGCGACATGGCAAACATCTCCTGTCGCAGCCTGATGTTCTCTTCCCAGGTCTCTCGTGCGGCTCGTTCCATCAGCATGCAGCGCTCTACCTCGGAGTGCATGGAGGCCCCAACATCGTCGATGAGTGCGGCAGCTTCACCGTAAGACTTGGAGACAAGCTCTGAAAGCGACAGCAGGCAAACTTGCAGTCCGAACACGCTGTCTGCTGATATCATCGCAACGCGGGTGTTGTTTGATGTTCGTTTGAGTGTACTGCACTGCCGACCATGCAAGACTGTTGCATCTGCTTGAAGCGCAACCGAAAAGTCATCGATCGTCTCTCGCACTAGAGATATTTCATCAACAAATTCCCTGATTTCTTCCAACAAGCAGCTCATATCTGCTGCCCAACTCTGACCCTCAATTCCTCGCCTGGGCCGCAACTGCTGGTCCGATTGGACGAGCACCGGGTTCATATCATCGAACAAAGAGTCAGAGGAGGCGTCATGCGCTCGGGCGTCTCCTCCACATCGGTGTTGAGCATGGCCGAGAATATCTGAATCTGACTCAAGAGAATCATGTCGAGCAGCGTGCATGTTTTTCCAAGCCGGGTCTGCGCCATCGTGCTCCTGTCCTCCATGACTATGAAGGAAACAATCTGCTAGAGCACAGGAGATCTTCTGTACATCGCCAAGCAGCGAGATCAGCTCTCTGCATGCAGACAAAGAAGCTTCTTTGCTTGATGTAGCTCCCACGCTCAACCTCAACCTCCTCGTCTCCTCCCTCAGCCGCCCATTCTCACTCTCAATTTCAGCATGCCGGCTAGTCAGCTCGTCCAGCTGCCTCAGCAGGTCTGCTTGGATCTCCGAGGCCTCAATCCTGTCTCCATGTTCACACTAGAGCCTCCCCTCTCCCTTCCCCTCCCCCCTCCCCTGCCCCTCCAGCATGTAACGAACCGTCTCCCCCTGAGATCCTCCTCCTCCTCCTCCTCCTCCTCCTCCTCCTCCTCCTCCTCCTCCTCCCCTCACTCACCATCCCGCCATCGCCTCCATCATCTTCTCTTCTCGCCGCCTCCCCTCGCATGTTTCCATGGCCGGCACGGAATGGACCTGAGGTGGGCCCGCGAGGGAATCTAGGTAGAGTCTGGTTTTGATCTAGATCATGTTCTAGATATTGTTCCAGACATATGCACATGCAGGCCCGGTTCATGGAGGGCAACAGATAGGAGGAGGAGGAGGAGGAGGAGGAGGAGGAGGAGAGTAGAGAGAAAGTCATGGAGAGAACTCGCAACTAGCGATCACCGGCTGGAAGCTGGAAGAGCGGGAACAGGGGCAAGAGAAGGATGGCAGAGGTCAGCGAGAAAGAACAAAGGTTTCTTGCATGGCTGCGGGAGCATGGCGCGAAGTTCGACAAGCTGGAATGGCCAGTGTACCGCTGGCCTGGGAAGCCTCACGATGGCGAGAGAGGAGTGCGAGTGATCAGCGACATCGCTCCCTGCGAAGAGATGTTCAGCATCCCTGAGAAGATCCTGATGAGTCGCAAGTCTTGCATGGTATGGCGGGAGATGGACGGGAGGCGCATGCCGGCAATGGACTGACAGCTTGCCGCAGGCTTCTTCCATCGCCCATGTCTTCAGGAAGCACAAGGATGTCTTGTTCTCGTCCAGAGACGAGCTCGCGCTGACGCTGCTCATCTTGTACGAGAAGTTGGACCAGGGGAACGCATCGTTCTGGAAGCCCATGATCGACATCCTCCCTGCAGACCCCGGAGCAGCGTCCAAGTGGAGTGAGGAGGAGCTGCAGGAGCTGCAGGACGAGTCGCTCAAGGCAGAGGCGATGATTGTCGTAGCCAGTATGCAGCAAACGTACCAGCGGGTGCTGCGGCCCATCCTGGTGCAGCATGGCGACGTTTTTTCGGTGGACAGGTACACGTGGGAGGAATTCCGTTGGGCGCTGCTCTGTGTGGAGTCGAGGACGTTCGGCCGCTTCCTCCCCCATCCTTCCATCGTCCCCTTCGCCGACCTCCTGAACCATGTCAACGTACAGACGAGCTACCGGTGGCTGCCGGAGGAGAGGAGGGCCGCGTACATGTGCGACGCGAGCGGGGAGCATGTTCATAGGAGGGGAGAGGAAGCCTTCATGTCCTATGGGCCGAGGAGCAACGCGGAGCTGCTGCTGCACTACGGGTTTGCACTGCAAAGCAACAGATATGAGGTGAGCAGGCAGGAGGAGGAGCAGGAGATTATCTTTGCTTACTTCCCGTCCCATCACTTTCTATCTTTTCCCATCTCTCCTTCCTTGCTCATACTCTCTGATACTCTCTTTCTCTCTCCAGGCTGTGGAGCTCAACTTCCGCATCAATACTCTCCATCACTCCAAGAACATTCCATGCACGAAGATCTTCAAGACTTGTCTCAGACCTCAGGTTCCTCCTCCTGCTCCAGCTCTCCTGCTCCTCCTCTTATTCTTTTCACCATCTCCCCCCCCCCTCCCCCTCCCTTGCAGCTCCTTGTCCTCTCTCTATGCCTACCTCATCCAGCTTTCCATCCTCTTCTCCGCCTTCTGCCTCTCTCCTCCCTCCAGTTGCTGTGCCCATCACAGTAAGCTCCTCCTGCCTTCTCTGCCTCTGCCTTGCTCTCACCCCCATGTTCAGGTTCCCTGCTTCGACCTCCTTGTCCTCTTCAGAAAGTTTGTGCTCGACAAGTCGTTGGGGCCGTCAGGGAAGGGCGGAGGCTCGTTCACACATGAAGAGCTGCGGCAGAAATGCTTCTGGGATGCCAAGATGGAGGAAGAAGCTCTTTCGTTGTTGAGGAAGGTGAGTGATACGAAGTGCTCGGCATATTGTCGTCAATGGCAAGAACTTGTCTTTAGGACAACATCATCACGTTCATCATCATAACCACACCACAACAACATTTTCATCATCGTGAACAACAACAGCCCCCACTGCCACACTCCCAAGATCGTCTCTATCATGATCAGCATCATCACCACCATTGCTACAAGACGTCACTTGCACGATCGTTCTCCTCTCAACTTCTCCCTCCAACATCGCTGACTCCCCTCCCAGGCTCTGATAGACTGCGTCCGCAACAACTTCCCCACAACCTTAGCAGGAGACTGGTAAGAGACAAGCTACCTTCCTTCCCTCCTCCTCCCGCTAACTATGACACAGGCGGGAGTACAAGAGCGCTGAGAGCATGAGGAAGAAGTTCTGCCTCATCTACCGGATGACAAGGAAGCGCGTCCTCCTTCAGCATGCCCGCTTCATGGCCATTGCTCTGCACGAGCTTCAGCTCCAGCGCTGCAAGGTCGGCTCGCAGCAGCAGCAGCAGTCGACTGCTGTGTACGTGGAAGGAGACGATGAGAGAGGAGGAGAGAGGTTGTGGGTGGATAGCGACTACCTCAACGGGGCAACGATGCGCTGGAGGGAGACGCTGCTGGCTGACTCGAATGTCGGGGACCTCGAACAGTATGACCTGGTGAGTTTGCTTGCAATCCTCTGCGTCGCTGAGACTTGCTGGGGGTTGCGATACAGCTGCTGGAGTCGGAGAGTGAAGGAAATCCGTGGGAGGTGATTCTTGCAGCCTTGCCGTCGGATCTCCTCCTCCTCCTCCTCTCCTCCTCTCCTCCTCTCCTCCTCTCCTCCTCTCTTTCTCCTCTCTCCACTCCTCCGCCTCCGCCTCTCTTTCTCTCTTCCTCTTCTCCTCTCCTCCTCTCCTCCTCTCCTCCTCTTCTCCTCTCCTCTCCTCTCCTCCTCCTCCTCTCCTTTCTCTTCCCTCCCTTTTCTTCTCCAAGTGTTTCATCCCCCCCTCATCCCATCTTATCTTTCCCCTCTCTCATGTTCCCCCCCCCGCTCTCCTCCCCTCTTTTCTTCTCCCCTTCTTGCTTGTCCCGCAACCCCACTGAATGCCTTGACGTCTCTTGACGCAGAACATGTCGGAGCCAGTCAAGGCGGGAGAGGAGGAGGAGAGAACAAGAAGCTACAACGAGATCTGTCAGCGATCCCTGGAATTCATCCACCAGCAAGAGAGCAGTGTTCTGAGCAGCAGCAGCCTCTCCTTCCACCAGTCTGCCGCCGTCGGAGACAACCTGGCGACGAGGACGGTGACTTGCGGGGAGGACTTCACAGCTCTGGTGTGCGAGGACGGGCTTCTCTTCACGTGCGGGGACAACACTTGCGGCAAGCTCGGGCATGCGAGGACAGAGTTTGACTGCAGGCCTTCAGTGACTGCCCAGCAGTTTGTGCTGAGAGCCAAGGTGAGGGAGGAAACGAGGGAGTAAGGAGCGAGAGGGGAGAGGGGAGAGGGGAGAGGGAGAGGAGAGAGAGAGGGTGAGAGGGAGAGGGAGAGAGGGAGAGGGAGGAGAAGGAGATGACAGCTGGGGTACAGCAGGTGGTGGGTGTAGGGAATGAGAAGATAGTGAGTGTCGGTTGCGGTCAATATCACATGGTCGCCATCTCTGAGAGGTGAGGGTACATGATGATGATGTTGATGAGAGTGTGCGAGGAGGAGCAAGACAGTGTTTGTTGCTTCTTCAACTTGTTTGCTGCTGCCAGTTTGCTGTGCATTTGATTCTTCTCTTTTCCTCTCAGTGTTGTTGATGATTTTCTGCGTTATCATTTCGATAATCTCTGATTTCTGCGTTATGGTTGGACATCATTATGCTTCCATGTGTCAATTTTGTGCTGGAATCACATCAATTACTCTTCCTCTTTTCAGCGGGAAAGTTTTCACCTGGGGAAGCAACGTTGACGGTCAGTGTGGACTAAATCACAAGAGCCAGCAGGCAAGTTCCGTGATCAGCATCATCATCATCAGCAGCATCATCACCATCACCATCACCATCATCATCACTATCATCACCATCACCATCACCATCACCATCACCATCACCATAATCATCGTCGTCGTCATCGGCGTCGCAATCATTATCATCATCTCCGCCCCCTCCCTCGCCATTTTACCCGTCAAGGTCCTCATCCGAGCTGCTTCCAGATTCTTCGACCTGCATGTTTGAGAGGCTTCGGGAACGCAGAGGAAGAAACTCGAGCGACTTCAGCTGCCTGTGGCGATTCGTTTAGCGTCATCTTATGCGCAGGTGTATCCTCCTCCCTCCTCCTCCTCCTCCTCCACCTCCTCATCCTGTAACCCTTTGCACTCAGCCCATTTAAGCTCTCGTCACTTCCAAATTCGTCGCGGCCCAAGAACCTTTGGCAGTGAAGAACGAAGACGGAAGGCGGGTGGAGAAAGAGCCCAAACGAGCTCAACAACTCCTGATGGCATAGAGAACC